GGACTTGAAACTTTTTTATAAAAGGTCGGAATTAGCAAAGGATAATGCATCTAGAAAGTATCCTAAAATTGCATTTACTCTATCTAAGCAACAAAAAAAAATTATTTGAATGGATAAAACAACTCGGGTTCCCTAATAGATATGTGTCCAACCTAGTTAGATGTGTTGATATGCGGCATGACAAACTTTATAGGATGAAAAGTCATGATTGTCATATCTTCATGTAGAGGTTACTTCCAATTGTATTTTGAGAGTTTTTGTCAAGAAATATTTAGCAAGTACTTACATAGTTTGTTTTTCAAGCAATTGACTTCTACGGTGCTAAATCAATAAGATATGTTACGACGTAATGATGAGATACCCATTATTTTGTGTAAACTAGAGCGTATATTCCCATCAAACTTTTTTGACTCCATGGAACATCTTCCAATCCCTCTACTATATGAGTCATCTATTGCGGGACCCGTACAATATCGATGGATATATCCATTTGAAAGGTATCAACATTCAATTTAAGAGTAAAGTTAAATAAATTTCTAACTTTTGAAAGTTAAAATAATTCATATTTGCAAGTACTTACGGTAGCTAAAAGATAATGTTAAGAATAAGGTTAAAGTGGAAGGGTCAATATGAAATGCATATTTGATCGAAGAAGTCTCTTTATTTTGCTCACATTATTTTAAGCCTCATGTGCATACAAAGCATCAAAAAGTGCTATGTAATTGTGACTATTACAACGAGAGAAGAAAGCGATCATATTGAAGGGATGTTATCCGTATTCAAAAAATCAAGTTGACCAATTGGTAGACATAAAATACAAAAATTGACACACCTCAAACACAAAGTAGCCTACCAATATATATTGTTGAATTTTGAAAAAGTAAAACCTTACATCTAGTGAGTTTATCAAAATTCAAATTTTATATCATACCTTTTTATTACATTTAATAATATTAGGAACATAGTAAAGACTAACTCATGTTTGTTATTAATTCTCTTCTCTGTAGTGGATTTCTTACCAAAATACAACGAACAATTCGTTTATGTCCAAGAATGAGGTCGATGCTCTAATTGAAAATGAGTTTACCTCCTAGTTTAATTAATATGTAAGTATTAGTATTTTATATGTTTAGTTTATCGATAGCATAAATTGAAAGATAACTAAACTTATAAGGGATTTTATGTTTAATTTACAAATACAAAATGCATAAATAATTTCCATGAAAGATCGGTTCTTGAAAGATCTCGCACAAGGCCTATTGCTTACTTGCAAGATCGTATAGCAATTACTTTGTTAATGGTTATAGGTTCCACACACTTGAGGGATCTTAAAAAACAAGATCTTTCAATAGTGGTGTCCGTAATAAAGGAAGCAATTATAGCACGGTCGAGAGTGACTATTATAGGATGGTGACAAAAATTCTTGAATTAGAGCATCCTGCATTACTAATCAAGAGAACGAGTATTGTTCAAATGTGATTAATTTGACCCCACAACACAAGAAACAAGGGGTTCATCCATAGTACAAACATATGGATCTTAATTGTAAAAGAACCTTGAATAATTACTAACCATTTGTCCTAACATCATAGTCGGTTCAAGTGTATTATATGGAGTACCCTAGCTTATGACATGAGAATCGAGATTGGTGGGTTGTGTGTAAGATCAAAGCTAGGTTTGTGTTTGACTTTCCTGATTCTTCAGTTGTCGTCCAACAAAATGCTAAACCATTTTAGCGGGATGATCAAAAAATTCATCATGAATTGATAGAGAAAGTTGAGGATGTCACTTTATTGAATGATCCAAATGGATCGTTGTAGATATAGAAGTAGATATGATTGATGAAGAAAATGATTGTGAGAATGCGTCGGATGATGGAGATGACAACTTAAACAATGATTATGATAGTTGTAATTAAATTCATATTTCATTTGTTGTATTAGTAGAAAATGATATAATTTTTGTCTCTTTATTAATTTGTTACATGTAGTTAATAATATATGTTTTTCTAGTTCCACTAAATATTCGTTATGTATTTTTATTGTTTTAATTATATCCATAATACATTATGTATTTTAATTTAATTACCTATTAATTGACTCGACAATACATTTATTATATATTTTTTATTTGTTTAACATTACATCATACAGCAATGACTCATGATAAACATGGTTTATGTTGCCCCTCCGTAGTCACTTATCGGATCACGTTTCGGTAATCGTGGATAAGCATACCATCCGAGGGTAGTTCGTTAGGATCCCTTACTAGTACGATCATGGGTCTCCGATGATAAGCCTTTTTCATGGATCCCATAGCTCCCCCAGTCATGGAGCCGAACATCCATATCGGCAGGTGTTCCTACATTAGAACTTGAGGTTCCACCACCGACCTCCGATAGTGGCCCCTCCGATCATGTATCTAACATTCCGGAAAGTTGTCATAGCTCCTTCGGTCGACAACGTATTGTTTCTATCAATGAAGGACAATATGTATTTATTTTTTTACTTTAATATGTAATTTCAAAAATTGATGTGTTGTTTTTAATATTTCTTTCATCGTTTTGTTGTTTGATAGTTTGACTCCATATACTAGAGATTATGCTATGAGGATCACTAAGATTTTTAAGAAACGGGTAGACAAGAGTGGATCGTCATGGAAAGGTTTCACCGACGTCACTAAAGACTTCTACTTCGGTGAATTTTGGGTAATGTATTATCAATTTTATTTCTAATTAAAATGAAAAATTTCTTACATAAATTATATAAATTTTTTTGTTCATGTAAATCTTTTTAGATCGGGATGAGGACATCAATACGCTTGTTAGAGTGGCATGGAAGGGTGTCATTAGGAAATGCTATGCCGACTTCATCGGCAAGATGAGTAAGAAAAACGACTAACCTATTTTTATTAGTCAAGAGGTCCGGGATGCGTGGTGAAAGGATTTTAGGAAACCTAATCGCGTGGCTCGTTCGAGCAAGCTTCGCGGAACTCGGTTATCGAAGATCGATGGTCCCGGTATGGGCCCTTCCAAGCATACGGAGGGCTCTATATCTTCGAAGAGCACGCCCATCATTTGGTAAATTCACATTCTTTATTATTATTGACTTATTTTATAAAATTTCAATTTTCTTCTCATATTGTCCGTAATGGATTTTTTTTTCATACGGTAAAATTAGGCCATCGACCAACGAGCTTTGAGTTGTTCAAGATGACTCACAAGCAACGAGATGGTTCATTTGTTGATTAACGCTCCCGACAAACAATGTTAAGTGTTTTAAACAAAAGTATTAACATGAAAAGATAATTCAAAATTTATTTTAATCCTCTAATGATGATATCATTATTTTGATTATGCGAGAGCGACTCATAAATGAGGCGATTCTTGCTCGGAGGGTGGAAGGAATTTTCGAGCCGAAGTTGACGAACATGCTATATACCTCGATGCTTGTCAAAGAGAAGAAGAAAAGATTTTATGGTATAGGCACACGGTCGGTGCATTATTTATCCCGGTCGGATGGCGGCGGCTCCTCTTACTACGATGTCGTATTACACCATCGATCCGAATAACGAAGAGCTTCGAAGAGACTACGAGGCTATGAAGGAAGCAATGAAGGGGATGCGAGGTGATATAAGCGAGCTTCAAAGCCAAGTGATAGAGCAACGTAGCTAGATATCGAGCAACATAACTAGATATCGAGCAACGTAGCCGGATCTCGAAGCGACATCGGATTATTTATAGTCCGAAATCTTAGTACGAGTCGATGGCATCTTTAGTCATGAGGCTAGCACAAATAACCGTGGTGCCAATAGATTCGTCGATTAGTCGGCAATCTACGAGTTCCTTTCACTCGGCCTCCAGTTCAACCTCTAGCCAAGCCCTCCACATAGTATTAGGACGAGGATATTGGATTAGAAGAGCGGGATGATTGATAGAGTATTTAGTCACTTTTTTTTCTTTTTTTAATGGAACGTATTCTAGAATTGTTAATATTATTTTATTTTTAATACATACATTATTACTTATAATTGTTAATTATTAAATATTAATTATTAAATGCCATATTAATAATTTAAAAACAATTAAAAAATTTTCAAAAAATTTCACGACGGAATAGAGATGGAATGGCGACAAATTTTTTTTTTTAAATTAGCGACCATATAGCAATGGATTAGTGACAAATTCGTTTTCAAATTTAGCGACCAAATAGTGATGGAATAGTGATAAATTTGTTTTTAAATTTAGCGACGGACTAGCAATAAATCTAGTTTCAAAATTAGTGACGAAATAGCAGATCCCACAACAAGATTAGCGATGGTCTTTTTTTTGCATATCGATGGATTTTTCGTCACTAAATGTAGCGACGGACTAGAATTGTCGTCGCAAAAAATTAGCGACAAGCAAAATAGCGACAGAATAATTCCATCACTATTCACAATTAGCGATGAAATTATGGCAATTAGTGACGAAATTTTCCATTGCTAACTTGCTATTTTTTTTTGTTTGGGTTCTCCATTATCGGTGGTTCTATCTCATCATTGTCAACCGAGTTACTAGGAATTTGAGATATCAAGGTCTAATTCCATAACACAATCTTAGATTCCTCCTCTAGAAACACCAAAAGGTACTTTTCTTTTATTTCATTCTCTTCGTCTGTCTACTTTCTAAGTTTTCTTTCTCAAATCAATATACAGTGATATCAAACCTACTTGCATTTGATAATAACATCTACAGCTTTCTCTTAGATTCCTCCTCTAGAAACACCAAAAGGTACTTTTCTTTTATTTCATTCTCTTCGTCTCTCTACTTTCTAAGTTTTCTTTCTCAAATCAATATACAGTGATATCAAACCTACTTGCATTTGATAATAACATCTACAGCTAGGTGTGTTCCATCAGAATTACTACTATCTTTTTATTTTTTATGGAAACTGTTCCTTATATCGAGAAGACCTTGACAGAGCAATTGAGTTGGACCCAACCCCCTCACTTACCCTTTCATGTATCGGGCTGCTTCGTTGATGAGGAAACAGAATGTTCAAGCTGCACTTGCAGAAATCAATAGAATTTTTGGTTTTAAACTCGCATTAGAATGCTTGGAGCTCCGGTTTTGTTTCTATCTAGGCTCTAGCCCTTAAGAATTATTAAGCTGGGATTTGTGATTTTTAGGCAATTCTCACGCTCTCCCCTGATTATGGAATGTTTGAGGGGCGGGTGGCAGCATCCCAACTCCATACCCTCGTGCGTGAGCATGTTGAGGATTATCAAGCTGCGATTTGTAATGTCTCTGCATGCTTGTGCTCAACCTGTCACAAGGATCGTTTTCACAACCATCTTTCCATGAGATTGTATTTTCGCAAGATAAAACAGCTCCTATGGTGCTCGTTGTATAGCTTTTGTTAAATTTCAAATTTTATTTATTTTATTTATAAGCTTGTTCCTTTTGTTACATTATAAGTCTCCAAAATAAGATGAAATCACATGATATGATTAAATTCTTTAAGCAGCAGTTGTCTCGATCAAGTTTTTAAATAACCTTTGGCCTTTAGACTACAAACTTAACTAGGATCTTACCGTGATGAAGTAAAAATGTGTATGGTCTCAACTCTGAAGTAGTCGGATTCGGAGTCTAAATAATCTGTAGGAGATGCTAACTGTCATGCAATGTGAGCGGACTGGGAACACATGTATCCTCTTTTATGTACTCCATTTTGTTTCTTCTTTCAATGAAAAGGAGACAAACACCATCATACCATTGGTTCCAGCCCTAGCTGACTTAAAGGGTGGAGCATCTCGTTTGCTTATTAATTTTTGGTTTACTGTGGTGCCTTGAAAAAGTTTTTTGGTGGAGCATCTCGTTTGCTTATTAATTTTTGGTTTGCTGTGGTGCCTTGAAAAAGTGTTTTGCACATAACTCTCTCTTTGGGTTTTACCATGTAGAAATTGCACGATTTTCATATATCCGGACATGGGTTCTAGTGAGAAGAAATTACTAATGCTAGATTTTCTATTTTTTAATCTATACATGTTTGCAACGTTTTAGGGTGGTTTTTGTAGTTTAATTTTGAATTCTAAGATTGTAGTAATATGGTTTTTGGTGTAATTATTTTATTATGTGTAATTTTGAGTTCTAAGATTGTAGTATTTTGTACATGATACGATAATTAATACTATTTAAACCGTGTCTAATATTTTTTATTAATAATCATTTTTATTGAATTTTTATTTATTTATTTATACACACAAATACATCTATGTATATATTTTTATTTGTGTTAAAAAATATAATGTTACAATTGCAAAGTTAAAATGGTTATGTATAGAGTCTTAATATATTTAGCAACAATACTTATCAAACAATCTTATTATATTCAATACTTAATTACTAGTAAATACCAAACAGTTTGTTAGTAAAATGTTCACTACTTAATTATTCAACACTTAAAATTCAATACTTAATTATTCAGTACTTAAAATTCAACACTTATAGATTCAACACTTAATTTTCAGTTTTATCAAGCACTACCTTAGTCTTCTTTGTTAATTGTCACATCATCACTATACGGTAAGTTAGATAGGAAAAAATTGATTGGTATTTTAAAAAAAATTGATATATTGAAAAAAATAAAAATTGATGTACTCGATCTAGAAAATATTCAAAGTTGAAGTACATATTATATAATTTTTTCATTTGAGAAGAAAAAACAAAATAAGGATAATATAGTTATTTAGTCTTTTACGTTAACTGCTACATCATCACTAAACGAAAAAACTTGATTGATATTTTTAAAAAAGTTGATATACTGAAATGAAAAAAATAAAAATTGATATACTCGATTGAAAAAAGGTTTAAAGTTGATATACTTATTATGTAGTTTTTTTCTTTTTGATATATATATATATATATATATATATATATATATATATATATATATTCAAAATTAGAATATTGCAATAAATTTTGAAATTTTTTCATCTTGATTTTGTTTCTCAAATTAATCAAATAACTATGTAGCTTTCCTCTAGACAAAACGGAAACATGACTGAAGAAAAAAAAAAAAAAAAAAAAAAAAAAAAAAAACGACGTCTCATGTTCCACACACAAAGAATACATTGAAGGAGGAACATTATCTTACAGGCTAAATCATCATCATGCATGGAATGGAAAGAGAACGTTCAAAAATATGCATTACTCCTCCCTACTTCCTAATTATAATGTTCAGTCTCTTTTTGGTAGAAGAAAATGTTGTCTTTTATTTTCTTCAATTTGTTATCGCCTCTTTAAGATAACACCGAGTAAATTATAAATCAATCTCTCTAATTTAAAAAATAAATAAATAATAATCCATCTAATTTCAATAATTAATTAATTAATTTTTATATTTTTTAATCTGTTTGTAACTTAGTTCTTTTCATTATATATATATATATATATATATATGAAGAATGAAAAGATTAAGAAAAAAAGATATTTTATAAAATAATATAATATAAAATTAATCATGGTCGACATTAATTGATAAAGTAATTAATTAGGTTTTAAAATAGGTGGGACTCTTGAAATCTTTTTGTAAACCTAGATTAATTTATAATTTACTCCATAACACCTTATCACTTCTAGCATATAAAAGAAAAAAAATCATTGATCAACACTAAAGTGAACGTTAAATGGTTGGAGATCGTTCATCATCAGTATCACATGCTCTCGCATTGCACACACACACATATACAGTGTTACTATACACAAATTTTATTATCACGCTCTGATCTACGAATAAAATATATATACAGACATAGATGAGAGAGACAGAGCATTACAGCTGGGAAATGACTTGTTAAAAATGGAGAAAGAGAGAAGAACAGTCCTTTTTTGGTCGAGGAAATAAGGCTATTGGTGGTAAGTCTAGAAGTAGTGATGGATGATTTGGACAGATATTGAAGAGCTTTCAAAGGGACTATTAATGACGAGGAAGCCATTGAAAAAAGGGAGAGAACGATTCTTTGTTTATATTCATAGAGTAAGTATTGTGTTTTTGGATGGCTAGATTTTTTTCCCCCACGTTGTTTTTTTGGAGTATGAAATATATTGTTAACTATTTTCTTTTTATTTTAATGAACTCTGCATTAAAATTCTACTATCATTTCCGTTAGGGCTAGGGGCAAAGATTACATGTATATTTCGAACTCGGATGATGAAGCTTATTCTGCTGGACGGTATAGGGGTGTTAACTATTCGGTGAAAACTAAAAAATTGAATCGAACCGAACCGAAATATCAACTTCGGTGCGGCTTTTTTTAGAAATTTTTTTTAAAAATCAAACTAAAATATAGCCGAGTTTTGGTTTTGCTTTTTAAAAAAACAGATTAACCGAATAACCAAAATTATTAAAATATATTTTTTAAAATTCATGAGTGAAACGACGTTGTTCACTCCTTTCTAAATTCACTTCGTTATGAGTGTCTTATTCCTCTAATCCTGTCCTCCTCTCGCAAGTCGCGGCCTTGCTCTAAGCCTCTCACTCTCGATCTCTCATCTCATCTCACATTCTCACCACTAGTCACCTCACCAGCTCACCTCACACACTCAAGCCTCAACCGATCAACGAGCACCTCGGCCCTCACGAGTCAATCCTCCACGGTCCACTTCGGTCTCTAGTAACTCCACTCCTCCCCTCATCTCTCGGTCTCTCACGCCCTCGGCCCCTCACGATGGAGTCACGCCTCACATAGTCACCGGACTCACGTCACTCACTCGATCATCCTCACCTCACGCTCATAAGTCACGGCCTGCGAGCCTCGACGCTCGCCCCTCACAATCACGGCCTCACTCCCTCACTAGATCCGGACTCACCGATCATCACTCCACAATCACGAGAAACCTAATTGGCTAATTACGGATTACCTAAACCTAAAATCTCCCTCACACCATTCAGCCACATTAAAAATCGAAGATTGAAGTCCAAACCTAAAATCACCCCTAACTTCCTAATTTCGAATTGCAAATCGCGGTGAATCACTCGACAATCGATACTCAATCTTCATTCTTTATCTTCAATCGCTTGGTGTTAGAGGTAGAGGAAAATCAAACCTCCTCACTCGATTTACTCGCACTCTTCTAATAAGTAAACATACTCTCCTTCTCTCTCTCTCTTGCGCGCTATATTCACTCGCTAATGCTTTATTTTTGTTTTGTTAAGTGTTAATTGCTATAGATATTTACTAGAAAAAATGTTAAAAGGAAAAGAAGAGAATCATATTCACGGGGTTGTTGATCCATGTCCATGACAAATGATAAGGTCTATAAGGATCATAAATTAAGTCAATATTGATGAATGATGAAGAAATTTTGTGTTACGTAAATGGAGATAGATATGCGGCATTAGTGTTTACCGATTAATTTAGCAGTTTAAGTACATTGGAGCTTGCATTTAAAATTATGGTTGAAACTTGAGCTAGTAGCCACTTGGAGCTGAAACAATTGTGTTGCGGTAGGTGTAAGAGCTTAGGCTAACACTACTACACTAGCACTTTAGCGGCTAATGGCCGGTGCCTACGAGCCTATGGGCACAAGCCACCGGCCGATAGGCACTAGCTTATGGTTGGCCAATGCCCATTGTTTTAAACTTTTAATAATTATAGACTTGTATTTAATAATCATTTCTAATCAAATATATTCATGAATTTATGTAGATATTGGGATCCTCGGATGTAGTTACCGAAGTTATGAGTTCAACACATCCAAAACAAGGCCCGAGCCCAACGAGTAGATACAATTGCTCTTGGCTCTCCATCAAACATGCAATTGAACACAAAGATGAAGAGAAGAGCAATGAGGCCAAGGTCGGTTGTATGAGACCATTTCAACAAGTTTGAAGATGAAAATAAAGACATCAAGGGGAGATATAATTACTATGATAAGGTACTTGTTGCTCATCCTACTAGAAATGGTACTACCGCACTTAAATCTCGTATGCCCATATGCAAAAAACACTCATATATGCTTGACCTTGTCCAATCGGAATTGAACCTTGAATCTAATTCAAGTGTTCAAGGGGAGAAAACACTCTTAGCATATGGAAGTTTGATCAAAATTGCATTAGAAATGCTTTAGTTTACATGATTGTTGTGGATGAACTTCCTTTCAAATTCATAGAGAATGCGGGGTTTAAATGGTTTACGTCAAATAAATAACCTACGTTTTCCATCTCGGATTACCGTTTCAAGAGATTGCTATTAACTTTATATGTATGAGAAATTAAAGTTGAAGCAATTTTTGAAAAATAATTATCAAAGAGTTTGTCTCACTATGGACATATGGATATCTATTCAAATAATTAATTATATTTGTTTAACGACTCATTTATTGACAATGATTAGAAGACATAAAAAGATTCTGAATTTCTGTCCAGTTGATGGTCATAAGGGTATTGATTTGGGTAGTGTTATTGAAAAGTGTTTGATTGATTGTAGAATTGAAAAAGTTTTTACTATTACTATAGACAATGCAAGTTCAAATGATGTGGCGATTAGATACGTGAGAGATATTTTTAACAATTAGGGTCATGGAATCTTAGATGAAAAATTACTTCATATGAGGTGTATGGCTCATATTTTGAATCATGTTGTTTCGATGGGTTAAAAAATGTAAATCCTTTGAGCCTTCGTGTTCAACCAACTGTGAGGTATGTTAGACAATCTCCTGCTTACGTTGAGAAAATTTAAGAAATTTATAGGGATCGAAAAGTTTGATTCCGAAGTTTATTACATCTAGATATTTTAATTAGATGGAATTCAGCTTATTTGATGTTAGATTCAGCTCAAAAGTTTGAGAGAGATTTTAAAAGATATGAGCAAATTGATCATTTATATGGTATTGAACTTAATACGGATCTTAGTGATAGGGTATTTGGGCCACCTAGTGTTAGAGATTGGAGGACTTGTAGGAAGATGGTGACGATATTGAAAAATTTCTATGACCTTACCGTGGCGGCCCCGACTCCTTGTCGATTACCTAAAATGCGTGGTCGGGTGCACCACGGTTTAGAGACCGAAGTCTCAAATTTAATCTCATACACATACACAATGTATCGAATATCATTACAAAAATTATAAAATATAATTTACAAGCAAATATAGATCCTATAATTGTTGTGTCACATATGAGCCTCTTTCTAGGAGGAACCGATAGCTTCATTATCGGCATTAGTATCACCTTTACCTATCATGGCATGAAATAAACACAGAGTGAGTCGAAGTTCAAAAAGTAGGGTGATGCACGTGATATGCAATGACTTTCCGACTTCCCCCTTTGACTTATCCAATTTTAATTCGGATACCTTGGGTATTAGCGAGTCTACTCTATTTTTAATCTAGGTGATGATCGATTCATCTTCCGCTAACAACGAAATTATCCCTCGTTGTAGCCACTCGTTAGTGGGAGTCCATCGTCTAACGAGTGCAAGCACACGACTTAGAGTAGTCTACTCTATTTTTAATCCGAGTGATGATCGATTCACCTTTTACTAACAACAGAATTATCCTTCGTTGTAGCTATCGTTAGTGGGAATCCATCGTATAACGAGTGCGAGCACATAGCTTAAAGTACACATACAAATTGGACTACTAATACCCTTTTTATCCGAGTAGGTTACCAAACCTATCCAATCACCAATATTTTCATAGTTATCTCGTACAAAATAGATAACCCATCCATTACGTTTACTAAAGTCCCATATTTTAGTCCTAGCTTTAATAACATTTAATTTGAGCCTTAATAGTCAACTTATAATTTTAGTGGATCTAGGTCTTAATTTTGATTTTTCTTGAATTCTCTTGTTCTAATAATTCATTTTATCTCCTTTAGGATGCAATTAAGCCTTTACTCTTGAATTTGGGTGGTGGGAACTCAATTTCCAAAAGTATGGTGTAAACCGAGTGCTTCCTAGTAAAAACCAAAATTTTTATTTTTCTTAGGATCTAACCTTTCTATACTTTATTTTATACTTATTTAGATAATTTAAACCATTGATTCATAATTTAGGTGAATGATTTTCAAAACTCGAATTCTAGGATTTTTGGCCGAATGGGTTAATTGTGGGCAAAGGTTTGTCTTTTGTTCTTAAATCCTTTCTTTCCATCTTAATGTACTAAATTTTACTCAAGTTGATTACCTTGGAAGTCTAGATCTTTAGATCCATAAACATAATCCAACTTGGCCATTTTAGTATTAAGGCCCAATAAGTGTTCTTAGGATATCCAAGCCCATTTTATTTTAATCCAAGCCCATCTTGTTTCAATCCAAGTCTTATTTTATTTTAATCCAAGCCCATTTTGTTTCAATCCAAGTCTTATTTTATTTTAATTCAAGTCCATTTGTTTTAATCCAAGCCCATCTAGTTTTTAATCCAAGTCCAATTATTTTAATCCAAGTTCATTTATCTTAGTCTAAGCTCATTTTATCTTAATCCAAGCCCATCCACACAAACACCTTCCAACCCATATGATTGTCATCAAACTAAACTCATTCACACATGCATAAACATCCATCACATATGGATCTCATAAGGATACATCAACTTGCTAACCATCCATCATCATACTTGTGCATCACAACACAAAGTCTACTATGAAATGCACATCAAAACAACCATATGAGATCCATCACAACACCAAAACACACATCATCACAAGATCATCATAATAACATATTATATGGCTTAAAACAAAAACCCATAAATCAAACATGTAAAAGAGAACTTAAAGAATAAATAAAACTAAAATGAAACCAAAAGAACCCTACTTACAATGATTTAAGCTTGCTTAAGATTTCTTGAACTTTTTCTTCTTTCTCTCCTTTATTTCTTTCCTCCCTTTTTCTCCTTTCTTTTCTCTCTTTCTTTCCCTTAAAAAACCATCTCTCTCCTCTCACTATGGAAGCTACGGCTTTGCAAGAAAAAATGGCAAAGTTTTAAGCTTTCCTTCTATTTTTATATCCACCTTTTTCCTTTCATTTATTAACCTTCCAAGTGTCAAAATTTTGTAGTAAATGAAGTCAAATGATGGGAAAAAAAGGAAGAACAAGTTGACCATTTAAAAATTCAAGCGAGGCTAGGTGTCACACTTTTAGAAAAGTGGTAGGTTTGGTGTCAAATCAAGTAATAAACATCGAAACTAAAAAGGCAACTAAACTAACCAACTTTCTTACCTCATTTGATTCCTAAAATTCGACCATGCACCTTGTTTGGGTAATTCTTTTACTTGCATGGTCATTTTAAATATAACATTATGAAAAAATAAATAATGGCTAATTAAATTCTCAAAAAGGGTATTCCTATGAACACTTTCGTAAACCTTAAATATTTTCACACCACAAATATAAAAAAAATGACACATAATTTATACTCATATAATTATGGATAGTTTAAGAGATATTTTGGCTTGGAATTAAAATTGTGACGTGCCGAAATTTTTTTTTTTTTTGAATCCCATAACTCCTCACATAAGCACAAAGCATATTACTATCTTCAAATATTAATCGCACTTAAAAGTTTATATATACGGATATAATATATCAGTATGTATTTCTAGGTTAAGGAATTTCCCAAGGCTACACATACTTTGTCTATTTTGGGTCATTCATATGTCACTTCTAATAATTATTTTGATAAAATTTTTACACTTGAAGCTGATTTGAGAGAATGAAAAGAGTGTGTTGATGATGATACTTGCTCAATTACAAGTAAAATGAGAGAAAAGTTAGATAAGTATTAGAGAGAAATAAAGAAAATTAATAAGTTGATTTATACCGGATTCGTACTTGATCTAACATGTAAACTTGTTATGTTGCATGTAATAACCCAAATTTTTCTTTTTATTTTTTATTTTTGTTTTTTAATTTGAATTTTATTAAAAAAAGAAGGAAAAAAAGAAAGAAAATGATTAAAAAAAATTTCATTTAGGGATACAATTAAAGTAATTAGGGATGTAATCGAGTCAATTAAAAAGTTTAGGCCTTAAATTGCACCTCCAAGGACATAATTGATGATATTGTCCCGAAATTATTTCATAGAGGGGCGTAATTGCTGAAATTGAAACGCGGGGACCAAACCGAAAGTTTGGAGCGAACGATAGGACCAAAATGGAGCGAGACGACCTATTATTCACTCCAAGGCGCATTCTCTTCGAAAATCTTTGGGAGAATCTGCCAAATCCTCCATGAATTTCTTGTTTTTGATTGTGTATTAATCATGGATTTTGTTGCCAAAACCAACACTAATAGGAATCAATGAGAATTTTCTCGTTTTGATTTCATAATTAACCATGAATTAAGGAGGAAAAATTTTGACAAAAAATTTTAGGATTTGAGATTCGATTCTTAGATAAATTTTAGAAACTTTTGTGCTATAAAACGTTTGAATTTCACATAAAAAGAAAAGGAGAAAAATTGAGAGAAGACTAGGTTGAGAGGGAGTGAAAATCAAAGGCGAAAAGAACTTGATTTTGATTTTAGCAATTTCATTTACCGGGTTTTCTTCTTTTTTTCTCGGGTTGTGTTCTTGAGACTTGGGTTTGGTTCATAATCCGTCGGACCCCATTGTTGTTCTTGTTTAGCGTTTCTCAAGTTAAGTTTTGATCTTCACGAGTCTTCTTGACTTTTTATTTAAAGCTCGGGTTTCCAATTCTCCAAAATCTAGTTTCTTCCTTTGGAAATTCCGGGCGATGGCTTGCGTTTCTTCATAAGTTTCGGGTTTCGGGTTAAACGCTCTTCGGTGTTCCTCGTTTCCGGCGGCGCTAAAAATTCTTCGAGTACTAGGTCTTGCGTTTGAAGTTCTTCACATTGT